GTGATAATTCCAAAGCAATTCAAGGCCATCCAACTAGAATTGAAGAAGATGGAAAATATGGCAATATATGAAAAACAGGTACCTCATTTGCTGCAAAAGCAGAATACTTCTCATTGGCAATCCCTTCACAACGTACAGTAGCCACCATGACCTGCAATGGAAGAGTTATGGATGACTTGTTCAAATTTACATGCATATATCGTATTCACAGTTTTCGACCAAAAAATAATTGTATTCACATTTTTACCTTGATGGAAGGAATATCAAGATCTCTGTCTTTTTTTATTTTTTCCCAAATTTCCTGTAAACTCAGAGAAAATCCTGAAGCAGGAACTACCGCCTGTCGATCTCCAGCAAGTTTGTTATGATGGAAGAATTTCTGCCTCATGCAAGCAACCTTTCATTCACAAACATAAGTTACATAAATTTGACCAAAAAAAGGGCAAACCTGCCCAAGATGCATAAATTTGAATACTAGGCATTTTAGTATTAAAAACAGAAATGGCACAATTGGTTTCTTTAGGCAGAAACTGGAATGCAACAAAAGATGAGAGAGGAAATGGCAATGACAGAGAACAGAAACATTTTTTAATGTAGTCGACGAAGTGTTAAAGAAATAAAATATACAGCAACATTTGAGAAACCCTGCAACACCTGCCTAGTTATTTTCTTCGTTTTCTTTTCAGAAAAATCTTGTATGGTCCTTTTTATGTATCAAGATAACTTAGTCGTATTCCATGAACAAAAAAGATGAGATATTCAATTTGACATGGTGTGCAAGGCCCAAAGAAAAGAAAGAAAATCTGCATGGTGCCCTCATAGCACATATGCGTACCTCCGCTTTAAATGTGTCTTCTTTGTCTTCATAATTTGAAAGCGCAACAACCTCAACCTAGCCATTTTTAGTCATAAATATAACACATTGTCAATCAATACACATGATCGATAGTTTTCACCACAGTAACATCAAATAAACATGAAATCTTATCTGTCATATAAGCATGACATCTTACATTGAAAAATTCACTCAGTGGAGTTTCCTTGTGGGCTTCAGGCTTAGGAGCAGACTCCCATATCTGCAGTAAAGGAGAGACGGGGTTAACACAACAACACTAAAAGTAAGGCAACAACAAATAAAGCACCAAATTAGTTAACCTTCTGAATGTCGTTCCGAAGTTCGCTTTCTAAATTCTCCAGTGGCGTCTACAAACAAAAAAGCATAACTACACTATCAAAAACTCAGCCTAGAGTGGAATGGCCTTATACCAAGGAAGGAAACGATGCAACAGACTACCAAAATAAATAACAAAGACAAATGCAAATTGGCTCCATCTCAAATCACAGAGAAATACTAAAAGAAAAGAAGGAACCTTTGTCTTATCACTGATGACAAAGATCAGGGTTGTCTTACGAGGACCAAACAATCGCATCATCACCTGTTAACAAATTCAAGCATAAAGTTCAAGAAATCAAGCCTCTGAAATTTGTAGGTAGGAAGAAAATACCTGGAACACGGTGTTTAGGAGAGGCTTATTTGAAGCGTGCTCACGGCCAATGTCATGGCACCATCTACACAAAATTGCTAAAGAAAATTACTCACACAGACGGGGAAAATATTACAAATCCAAACAGTCAATAAAGAAGGGGAAAAAGAAAAACCCACATGTTAATGAGCACTACATCTGCTACAGCAAGGGCAAAAAGAGTACTCTGCTTCTCGAATGCTATATCCTGTAAATAAATAACCAAATTCCAATTAAGTAGATTGCAACCATGACAAGCAATCCTGATAGAGTTGTGCATTTTTTGTTTTTAAAATTTGGAAACAATCAATAAATCCGGATTCCAATCCTAGGACCTTAAATCGGTCATTTTCATTTCTCATTTCTGTTCTTGATTAAGTAAGAGTAAAATGTCTATCATCTGTAAGCTACAAGTAAGAGCGGTAGTCAAAGAAATAAAAAGTGATCATCCAGCAATGGATTCGTGTGTTGGCCAGAGAATTGGTAATGACAATAAATTCAAGCATGGCCATAAATTGAAATTTGATGATGAAAACTAAAAGCACCTCTCCTCGTTCTTTCCCATCTGTACCCTCCATGTCCATAACAAGAGTAAAAGGGTGACTGGTGGGATATTTTGCCACCCAAATACCTTTTGTTGTTTGAGACCTGGAATAAAAGCATATCCCATCATATTCATGGTCACTAAGAGAAAACATAACACAACAAAGTTGTCATTTTGAGCATTATGAGAGAACTTGCCTTCCTTTAACGGCGTCCATTTCTTTAAAGTTGGTATGAAATAAATGGTTTAGCAGTGTGCTCTTTCCTGGACAGATGATTAGTATTAAAAAGACTTTCTCATATATCAATATCAGATAAGAAAACAGAGAACGACCAAAAACATATCGTAATTTTGTAAACCCTGCTCCATCTGATTAAGCTTCAAAACATGGTAGCAGAATTTCAAAACTTAGCTTCATCTTATTCACCAGAGTGATATTTTTGTGAATTCTCAACCAAGTCAGAAATGAAGATTAAAAGGTAAGTAAGAATGCATACCACTACTTTGTGGGCCGATAATGGCGACAACACGATAAGAAAGTCCAACTTTAGCAAACTCTGTGAATTTTGTAAACTTTTCAAATCCAGTGACATCAAACTCTCTGTCACCACCAACAAGCAGAGTAGAGCAGCAGCCATCACCGCTCACCGGAGAAGAAAATGCTGAAATACGGTAGATAGGAATAATCAGACAAAAGCAATATCTCTACACAGGGTGCGGTCAACGTGAGACAGGTCGACCCTTCCTTTTTACGAAATTGTCCCCTTAATTATTATTACTTACTTGTATTATTACTTACAAAAGCAATATCTCTAGATAGGGTGCGGTCAACGTCATATTTTTAAAATCTGAAGTGAAAAATTAAAAGAAAACTTGATCATCTCATGGCTGTGTCCACGCGTAAGCCTCACCCTACTGTCTGTGAGAGACGGCTGAAGTGTAAGACCTAACAACAAAACCAACTAGTTAACGGCGACCCATCACCGGCGCCGCCACCGGCGATGTCGCCGGAGGTAGCTCTGGTCCGGCGAAGTCGCCAGATTCCGGTTTGATCCTGGCGCCGTCTTCATTTTTAAACGCAACGCATATGCCTTGTATCAAACTGTTGAATTATATATCTTTGCATGTGTAATAAACCCATGCAAGAGAAAAAATTGACAAAAACTTAAAATTATGAGATTTTTTCTGTAAAGGAGCTGAGAAGATGGAGGGGGGGCTGTAAATAGCTCAGCCAATCAAACTGTAGGATCCGCGCGTCGTTTTAGCCTACGGCACCTGAGCATCCGCACGACGTTCTCATATGATCCTGTGACTGGGCCTAGGCAGTTCTCCAGAAGAGTATCGTCAAGACCTCTCAAGACGAGAATAGACGAAGCGAAAGGAAGGAAAGATATTCGACATACACCGCCTGCGGACTTTCCTGACCTTTTGGAAATAGCCATGGACGCATTGGAGTCTTTTCTATCCCTAGTAGAGTCGCCATTGTGGGCACCCACACTTTCATCAGTGATGTGCTCAGAGTTTCAAGAGATTGCGCTGAGAGTTTCAAGGAAGTCGACGGGTGAGAACTAATCAGGATTAATCAGGAGTCGTTCGCACATAGAGTATCGTCAAGACCTCTCGAGACGAGAATAGACGAAGGGAAAGGAAGGAAAGATATTCGACATACAAGACTGTTTCCTGACCGTTTGGAAATAGCCATGGAAGCATTGGAGATGGTAGAGCCGCCATTGTGGGCACCCACACTTTCATCAGTGATGTGCTCAGAGTTTCAAGAGAGTGCGCTGAGAGTTTCAAGGAAGTCGACGGGTGAGAACTAATCAGGATTAATCAGGAGTCGTTCGCACATAGCCTGTTTAGTTTGAACTTCCTGCTTGAGAACTCGTTAGTGGCTTGCTAAGCTTCCTGGGACGCTGGTCGTGCTACTTTCCTCTTCCTCCCCCTTTGGTCTTGCTTTTAAGTCTTCCTTATGCAGGTTGTGAATTCAAGCCTCAGAAGACTTGGCAGAGCAGGAATCAGCAGAACCAGATGAATCCTCAAAAAAGGCTTCTCAGGATGGGAATTGATCCAAGTCGTCTAAGGCTTGTTGCCAAGGTCGAGTATGAGGGGGGCTCTGCCCTCTTTTGGCCTTATATATATATATATATATATATTATATACTAGTTAATTAGTGTAACGTGCATCAACTGAAAGCATATGAATGAGGATCGATAGATCAAACGAAATAAAAATAGCATGATCATGATCTAATTAATAACAGTAGGGTATATAGAGACCCACCATTTCCTAATAAAGAGTTGCTCTTGTTTGGATGAGTAGTGGCAGCAGCATCCATGGCGATTCAAAAATGTGAAGGGTTCAGCTCTTGAGCTAGGAGAGGTTCTTGGCGAGAGCTTGCTTGCACTTTCCCTGCTAATGAAATAACGTGGGTATTTGAATCAGAAATGTCTACGTACTGTAGCATGGCAGAAAATTCCAATTAAGTCCAACTTTTCTGTTTGCATTGGCCCCAGCTCATCTAATTTATATTGTCAATTGTTATGAGACATAGTTGACAAATAGATCTAACAGGAGCAACATGTTTGTTGAACACGCAGGCACACTTTTGCAGAACACGCAGTGACAATGGATCCTTTTTCGGGTTTGTCGAAATTTTTTAATCTTGTGATCACTGGGCTCGGCTTGAACAATTTATTTGTTTATTTTTTGTTATTTTGATTTGATTAACTTGCCTTAATTTATTTTATTCCTTTTGTGATGATTATTGACTTGCTTGCCTTGGTGGCGTGATCTGTGTGGTGGCATGCCATTACCATACAACGAGGGTATAGTATATTGGAAATAGAACTTTACTATGAAATAAGAACTGATAAAGGAAATGATCGGGCTACTACGTTTATACGGGAAATGACGATGTCCCCTCAGAAGCCATATGAATTAAGAATTGGCCATTGACAATTTTCAGTAAAATACAACCAAACATGGTTACAACCGTAGCAATACAAAACTGATGCAAGTCATCATAATCAACTAACTTCAAAATCAATATCGAGCACTGAATGGAGCCTTTTGTAGCTTGTCCAACAAACGAGAAAGCAAAAACACCTAAGACTCAAAGAAAGAACTATTTAATGGGGACTTCCTCACAACAACAAACAGCCCCTTGTATGTTGGCACTTGCTCAAAAATGATGCCTACAAAAATATTACCATTACGTGCTTGCGACAGCGATGTGCAAGCTCACAGACCTAATATACGAAGATGATATGTGAGTAACACCATTACAATAAGTGCGCAGAACATCAGCATCTTCAAACATAAAAAATGTTCTTTGATCAAGATAGCTTAGTTTAACTAGTCTTGTTTTGCAGGGCTGGTGTAGTCAGATTCTGTCAGTCCAGATGAGGCACTAGATGACATTTCACTGCTAGCATTCCCTTCATTCGTAAAGTTTTTTGATGCTAGTGGAGGGTTCCGATGAGGATCATTAGCTGCAGCATTTGCCCCTTCGTCTGCTAGTCTTTTAATCATGTTCATGATAGTTGGAACAAGCTTGCTGGACAAAGAAATAAGCCCGGGAAGCTGTAGACATAGTAGCACACAGTTATAAGCCCACTTCTAAAAAACCTTTTTACAGTAACATATTGTGGTTATTCGTATTTTATGACCAAAGTTCTTTCTCAAATAATTTACTAAAATAAGGGCCAGCAGCTAATCTTACTTAGATTCCATATTTGTTTGCTGAGTAAGTGGTAGAGAACAATAAACATTATTTTCTGAAAAGAAGAGCTTTCAAGGAACGAAATTTGCACGATAAACTAGTGGAAAATTTTCACCTAAAACAAGTCTGCACAGTAGTATGACAGATGATATAAATATACTAATATGTTTGCTAGGAAGCTGCTCTTTGCCATAACTGATTTTCGTTCCCAAACTTCAGTTATTTATCAAAACTGGTATCCGCAGTTTTCATAAGAAACTGACATGCTCATACTCAAACTATAATTTCCTTTCTATTAAGCAATTCCACTTTTATTTGAAAGTGCGGTCAGTTTTAAGGCCAATTTTCATGAAACCAAATAGATTGGGAAGGGGCGAGGGAAGGAAAGCAATCAACAATTAAAACAAAATTTGATACTCACAGCACCATTGCGGAATTCACCCGCGACATCTAGCTGCACCCATAGGGCTTTAACGAGTAAAAAGCCAACAAAGATGACACCCAGATACAAAGGATTTCTGCCATGAAGGTATGAGAATGTGTGAGAATAGCGGTAATGCATAAAATTTAATGGTAGAACACCATCATCATCATCTATCCTCAGTATAGGGAAAGTATGTACCTTAAAAGTGTCATAAATTCATTGAATCCCAGGACAATCAAGGCAACAATTGCCCAAGGAGGTGGTAACCAGTTGTTATTACGCTTGTTAGCTTCCTGAAAAGTAGAACAACATGTGCAATGGAGACAACTATCAAAATTTTGAGAAAAGTTAACCACTGAAGAGCGATTGATAAGGATATTCAAACATGTGCAAAATGTATTCATCTCAACCGTGATATACTAAAACTTTGAATCTATGCCAATTAACAGTAATCATTTATGCAGGGCAATAGCAACATTGCATGCACCGACTCAATTACAAAGCATGAGTTAAGAGGCCATCTTTATTGATGTCTCTTTCCACCTCTTTAACCCCTTAGAACCATTTTCTATAAACAATACGAAAAAATGTTGAGCCTTGTAATCCAAAATAAACAAAATCTAGCAAGGCATCAGACCAATATAGTCATAATGGTGCTATAAATCTAAACCAAACCAGAAAGAGAATTTAACCATAAATAACACATTATAGGAAACAAAAAGATTACAGTTTATGGTTTCCATTTATTTTCAAAATATCATAGCATACAGAAAAAAGGAAAAATATATATAGTTCACGCATTAACAGGTGAAATATCATACCTGTGCAGAAATAGCCTGAGAAACACTGTACTCAGTCTCTGCCTTGAATTGCCTCCACAAAGATTTGCATTGGACAGGTGTGATCAATGTTTTTGAGGAGGAAACCTGCACATAAGTTGAAAAAAAAAATCACAAAAGCTACTTGGTGCTTACATGCAAACTAAGGGCTACTGGTAGTACCACACTAAGCACATGAGAGAAAGCATTGGCAGAGCCAACTAAGGCTGTCAGCTGACCCCGGGCCATTAATTCTACAAGAGTTCCAATGCTATATTTTGATACCCCCCCAAAAAAAGAGTTATATATGTCATATTTTGGAATATGAGCTCAAATTATGCCAAATGTCATTACTTAATCTTTATCTTTTATTGTCCCACCCATGCCATGATTGTTTCATATGATGGGACATTCATACATGTTCGACATTTTCATATTGAAGATGCCACCAATGCCAAATTATGGTAAGCAATTTACTGCACCATAGTTGGCATAATAAATAGCACACCAGTGGAGAATCAAGAAAAAGGTTAAATTTTGACACACCAGAGTAGATGCAAAGGTTGACCCCACATGAAAAAACTCCTAGTTCAGCAAGAGAGGGAGGGAGGGATACAGACAGTTTATGGCCTAGCTTATATATAACCCAACTTCCAAACCAAGTTCAGATTGGATTATACAGACAGAGAGTCTTCTCTATCAAATAAACATACTCAAGTATGTGTGTGTGTCTCTGTCTGCGATTTCCCAGAAAAACACAGGTCAGCATGGCCTTGTGGACAAAATCTATAGCTTTGAAGCTAGAAAACCGCAAAGTAACAGCTTTTAAAGGTTGAAACACCTATTGTAACAATACTTGCAAATTAAAAATTTAAAAGCAAGAAATAAACAAAAGAAAAGGCACCTCTTGCCAAGTGCTTGAAGCCAGTGGGTCAGCTGTTGTGATACTCCTATCTTTAGCAGCAACATTTGTGGAATCCACCAAGGCAAGGGATAAAGTATTCTCAATATTATCAGCATCACCATCATCCAAACGGATTGCAGCCATAACAGAGAGCAATTTTAAGGACTGAAAGAATAGCAATATAATTAACAAAGCTTCAGGGAAAATTCAAACTAGTTCTAATAGATGATATAATATAAATCATGCCATACTGAAGAACGGGCAGTTTTGGTGATTGCTCTAATATCTTCATTCCCAGTCCAAACACGTGGCATTGAATCAGAATCATGGCTAAATAATGTTGTAAACCTGCAGGCAATTTAAATCATCAGAATCATGGCTAAATAAAGTTGCAAACCCATGAAAAATAAATCTCAATTGCATAAGATAAAATCTGAAACAATTTAACCAGTGCAAGTATTTCCTACCTGTCCTTCATACGGATCAAAACCCTTCCAGCCTCTTCCTTTGTTTTAGCTTCTACCACACCTCTTGCATATGCCTCCATACTTGAAAGTAATTTGCCCTTGGATTGTTCATCCATATCAAAACCCGAAAGTGCACTAGAGAGCCCAGAGACGGCTGATTCTGTCTCACGCCGGAAAAGTTTTCTTATTGCAGGCCAGGTTTCACTATTAGCTCCATCTAGAAGGGCTTCCACCGGTCCTGATAAGGCCTCCTTCAATTTTGCCTACAAAAATAGTTACAATATCAGCCAGGTTCCTGAGACAATTTAGTCAACAATATACATATAGGGACTGAAAACCATTGAGAAAAAGTTCGCCAAACTATAGATGCCACTACAAACCTGTCAACTCCTTAAAAATTAGCATATCAAAATAGTTTAGTTTCCGCTTCATCCCACTTCCCTTTTAGTTTCTTCTTCCAGTCAAATTCTTGCTCGAGTTTAAAATTACCAGTCACCCCAATCATTTCACAAGAGTCAATGAATAAAATATATATTATACCTCATTAAGTGCAGTAAGTTCAGCTAGCTTGGCAGCACGAACTGAAGAAACTCCCTCACAAGCTCCTATGCATATTCTCCATCTTGTCCAACTCGACCTACAAACATAAATTTCCACCTTCTTCATGTGTGAACAAAACGCATAAGAGAAATTACATTTCATTATTTATCACTGATAAAATTCTGATTATTCCAAGCTATATGACATGCTTAATTTATTTAACAAAGAATTTTAAAAAAAAAGTTGCAAAAAAATTTAGTAGGCTAAAGGAAAGATATAACATACCTGCACATCCTTCATCAAATAGAGCCATAAATGACTCAGAGCAATTGCAAGCAGCCACTGAAAATGCCTCCCCACCATTCAAGGCCTTATCAAATGCTTCCTTGAACTTATCCAGAGAACCAGATCTTATATGTCCCAGCAAAGCTTGGAACGCAGGTTGGACAAGCTAACAATACAGTGAAAAGAATCAATAACAGAAGAAAAAAATATAAATCAAATTGATGAAATTCGAAACTCATTCTATAAAAAATAGGTTAATTTTATGCAAAATTAGTTTAAATTTGATGCACTGGGAAGGCCTCAAAAGGCCTCCTGTAAACAGTGAATGTCCCCCAATCAATTTGACATGCATTGCATATTCAAGGAGGAACCAGAAACAAAATTTTATCTCCAGTTTCTATAGGCAAAAAATACTGAAAATGCAGCACCACAAAGTCTCAATTCAACTGCTATATTTCACTCATCTATGGCACAAGGAAAGAAGGGGAGTGGGAACATAACTGTCACAAGAATAATATTGAGATTACTTACTTGCAGCAATTTTTCTTCAAGCTGCTTGCGCTTCCCAGTTCTGACACCTTCATCAAAATATGTAGCCTCTGCATCATACCTAAAATAGAAAAAGTAAACAAATTAATCAACTAAAACAAATAATTATTCAGCCATACAAGTCCAAAGGTGTACTTACTACTTAGAGACAGCAGACACCTTAAACCTTAAAGTTGCTCAGTAGAATTGAAGTGATGGCAATTTTATGTGCACTTTTCTAAAAAGATGAGAAGTTAACCAAAATTCTAAACATAAACTGACATATAAGATTGTGTTGTATAGACTACATGACGGAAAGCAGGAAACTATGACCACTTTGTTTCCCTTTTCTCTCTTTCTCTTATTTCACTGAGATTGTTTCTCTTTTCTGTTACTCCATTTGTGTATTCTTCCATCTTTGTCAAGGACTCAACCTTGTGGATACATACCCAAAAAAATTAAGAAAATAACATGGACGACACTTGATCAGTCACCATTCCAAAAAATTATTGAAAAGAAACAATGCTAAACTATTCGTGTATACCAAAAAAGCAACTAGTAAACTTAGATCTTCCAGTTGACTTGAAATTAGGCTGACGTAAGAGTCTTGCACATCATAAATACACTAATCCAGAACCTAGAGGCAAGTTGGAAATATAAGACCTAATACCATCATAGTGAATTTTAGATGTCTTCACCTAAAGTGCATGCCACTCAATTAAGAGGATCTTCACAAGTCAGTTACAGAACTTCTCTCTCATTAGATCAAGTCATATCTTACAGCTTTGACGTTGATAAATCAGATGAAGATACTTACTCTGATAGACAAGTATCAAGGATTGAACTGAGCTTCTTCCCGAAGCCAGAGATAGGACCAGATTGAACAGCCTCTTCCAATTGACTCCACTCCTGTGATAATTTAGGAGTTCAAGGGCCACCAAAGTTACAACATTGAAAAGATTTTAAGACGCTACATGAAAAACAGGTACCTCATTTCCTGAAAAATCAGCATACTTCTCATTGGCAATCTCTTCACAACGTACAGTAGCCACCATGACCTACAATGGATGAATAAAAGATAGCTTATTCAAAACAATATGCACATAATACGTGAATGGTGTAAGTGAATTTACATTCACAGTTTTACCTTGTGAGCAGGAAGATCAAGATCTTTGTTTTCTTTGATGACTTTCCATATCTGTTGTGCACTGAAAGAAAACCCTGAAGCAGGAACTACTCCCCGTCGGTCACCAGCAAGACCTCCGGGTGCAATAGAATGAAAGAATCTCTGCCTCAAGCTAGCAACCTTTATTTACAGACATTAATTACCAAAAACAGAAACAAAAATGTTAGATAGCTTCCTCTAGCTAAAAGCTAAGTTTCTTTGTATTCCAAACTAAAAACCGAAATTTAGATAAAAAATACTGCACAGAATACAAGTGCATTGTAAAATAAAAATAGAAATGAGATAATCCGTTTCTTTAAGGAAAATGGAAACAACAAAAGAGAGGGGGGAAGCATAGATACCTGCTCTTTAAATTGTTCTTCCTTTTCTTCATAACTTGAAAGAGCAACAACCTCAACCTAGCCATGCAGTCATCAAAACTCATTGTCAACCCACATAATTCTTAAATAGGTTATCCCACAAAAACGAGTACATGTCTAAGGTTATCTGTCAAAAATAAAATAAAAACGTTGATATCTTACATTGAAAAATTCACTTAATGGAGTTTCCTTGTGGGCTTCAGGCTTAGGAACAGAGTCCCATATCTGCAGAAGGAGAGATGCGGTTGAAAATCAACATCAATTGAAGTCAAAATATAGCAAATAAAGTACCAAATCACTTACCTTCTGAATGTCTTCTCTAAGCACTGGTTCTAAATTTTCCAACGGCGTCTACAAACAAAAAAAGGATAATTGTACTATAAAAAACTGGAAAAACCTTCTACCAAAAAAAACTAAACAATGTAACATACTCAAAAATGAATAATAAATGTAAACAAAATTGTTTCCATCTCAAGCTATGACATAGGAACACCAGAAGGAAAGTACGAACCCTTGTCTTATCACGGATTACAAACATCAGAGTTGTTTTACGTGGACTAAACAATCGCATCATCACCTGTTATCAAATTCAGGTATAAAGTTCAAGGCATCGATCTTATGAAATTCATACTAACTTTTTAAAGAAGAAAGCTAGGTAGAAAAATACTTGGAACACAGTCTTTAGAAGAGGCTTATTTGCAGCTTGCTCACGGCCAATATCATGACACCACCTACATAAAAATTTCTAAAGCGAGTTACTAACAAAGACTGACAAATACAAAACCTAAACAATAATTAATACAAAATAAGTAGACAATAAGTAATACAATATCAATATATTTTAAAATTTTAAAAAAATAATATAATTGGGGAAAAAAAACTCACATGTTTATGAGCACAATATCTGAAACAGCAAGAGCAAAGAGGGCACTCTGCTTCTCGAATGCTGTATCATCCTATGAACAAAAAGCCAAATAATAAACAAAAAGCAATTGTATCCTTTCTTCTATACACCTGTTTAAACCCTAAGATCGGATTTTACAGTTATATAGTTCAAATCCAAATATATGAAATTATTTAACCAAATTCAATTTAAAAAGACTGCAACCTTGAACAGAATCTTCACAGAATCACGCATTCTAGTAAAATGTGAATAAAGACTAAGAACATATGAGAATCCACTTTCTGCGCTCTTATAGAGTCCTTAATACATAAGATTTTCAGAATCATTTTAGTGGAAACCCATTACTCAACTATTCAAAATCTATTTCTCAGTATGGAAAAAATTAAACCTTGTCAGGAAAGTCACATGACACTAATTGCACAAATGAATGAATGATGGGGGCAAGGGGTTATAGCACGCCACTCTATATTGAAAACATTGTAGCAAGAGAAAAAAAATCAATAATCCCGATTTGAAGACAATGATTCTTTTCTCTTTTGGAGTCGGAAATCAAGATTACCCGGTAGAAAACCATGCATGCAATGTATGCACAAATATAGTTTTATTATATAATTTGAACAGAGAACTGTTAAAGACAATAAAATTCAAGCACGACCAAAATTTGATGAAACTAAAAGCAGGGTGTTGAAAGCACCTCTCCTCGTTCTCTTCCATCTGTACCCTCTAAATCCATGACAAGAGTACAAGGCTCAATACCGGCACATTTTGCCAACCAAATACCTTTCGTTGTTTGAGACCTGGAAAAAAACATGCCTATCATATTATTGATCGCTAAAATAGAAAATTAACTAATTTCATATTGAGCATTATGACAACTTGCCTTCCTCTGAAAGCGTCCATCTCCCTAAAATTGGTAGCAAATAGATGATTTAACAGTGTGCTCTTTCCTGGCCAAATCATTATTGAAAAAACAATTGAAATTAAGTGAAACCTTCACATATTATGTGTCGTGTCGTGACTAAAATAAACCAATAATTATGAAGAGAAAACCAATATGAAACCCATTTATGCAAGATGCATTCAAAATGCAGCATATAACAATAGGATGAGAAAGCAAAAAACATATTCCCGAGAACAAATATATAATATCCATGCCCTTAATTACCAAAGAATATTATGAACTCTTCTCCATCAGATTAAGCTTCAAACATGTAGCATTCTAATGTTCAATATGAAATACATTTCATCATCATTTATAAACCCTCAACCAAAGTCGCCCGTGGAAAATAAAACACTGTTATGCTTAGGGAGATAAGAATGCGTACCACTACTTTGTGGGCCCATAATGGAGACAATGGCGTAGGAAAGTCCGCATTCGCCCAATTTAACTTCCTTGATTAAACGGTCAATTCCAGTGGCATTGAATGCACCATCCCCATCAATAAGCTGAGTAGAGCAGCACTCCTCACTGTTCGCTGGATGAGAATATGCTCATGTGTTAAATAGGAAACAAAAGCCTTGGATTCCAAAGATACAAAATGTTCTAGGAATACTGATCAAAAAAATCAATCTAGTGATGAACACACTGTGTTTGTTGATTCAAATATCATACAAAGCAGTGGTACAAAGCCAAAATCCAGAAAGACTAAGATTATACAATCATAAAAAATAACTATCATTTCCTCATTAACCTAAAAAAAGCAACCGATCATATAAGTATCTGCATGGTTTTTGTTTGTATCACAACAACAACATAATATTTTTTAGTTCTTAAATTTAGAAAGGTAAATATTTTAGACTGATCTACAAGTGTGCAAATTAATCTTAACTCGTTATGAAAATGCTGAAGGAAAGGCTAAACCAATTAAATATGTGTTTCGGGTTTTCATATCTCACCTCAACCAAGCCAAAAAAATCATATTACCCCCAGAAGACAACCGATTTACATTTCCGGCGTCTCAAGCTAAGACTCAAGGAACAATAAAGATAAGATTTGTTTTCTTTTCTTATACTTTCTCACTAACCAAACAAATACAAGAAAGGTTGTTACAATCTATTGTTTCCTCCTATAAATCACCAGACTCCGAATTGAAAGCGAGGAGCTTAATCAAACAGTTCGAAGCCCCAAAATTTTCAGCAAACTGAGGCAAATCAATCACATCAGAGTCAATTAAAATCAGATTACATAAACAGTTACCCAAAACTGAAACCCATGCAGATAATGCTAAATACCCATTACCACTCTCGGCATCACAATCAATAAACGCCTGAAATTCATGGCGATCAGGAGCGTAACGCAGCAAATTAATGTTAACGGAAAATTCCAAAAATTAATAAATAAACGTCTCGTTATAATTATCATTAGGGTTATATAAATCAGATTGATCAGAGGAATGAGAAGGTACCCATTTTCGGGCGAGATTGTCTTCGAAGAGCTTGTGATGATGGGGCTTCGAAATGCGTGAGACAGAGAGAGAGAGAGAGAGAGATCGGTTAGGAGCAGAGAAAAAGAGAGAGAGAGAGAGACCGATCTCAGAGGAGAGATTGATTTTCTTTTGTTGTTCTTAAAAAGTGGGCGTGACTGTCTTTTTTGTTCCTCCAATTACTTTTTGGTAATTTTGTGCTTACATCATTTTCTTTTAATAGGTAAAAATAGTTTTTGCTTTTTACAAATTTCACCCTGTCCATTTTTTTCCAACCCACTATGATATTTTTACAAACACTACTTTCTTAAAAAGAAGTTTTCTACAAATTGGGTAAGGTTTGGTCAAGGCAATCTCCCCGACCCTTTACACACTCTAGTTTGAATCGCATTCTTATAAAATAGATTAATCTAAAATAATTTAAACTATCACTTGTATTATATATGCATATTGTAATTTATCTCTTCTAACCAAAAAAAAAAAAGCATCTTGTAAAATAAAAACAAACTACTTGATGCGTTTTGTTTTTGTGTTCTTGCTAATCATTATTATTAATTTTAAAAAGTATTAAGATTGTATATTATCTCTTTTTTTGTAAGGGTTGGTTAATAATCTTCCCTCCCAATTCTTTTTTTTTTTTTATAAATAAATTGTTGTTATCGGTAATTCAAAAAACTCATTGTGTACTTCTCAGTCATATAAATATAAGAAGAAAAATATTTGCACTTTCTTGTTATTAAACGCGATATTTTAATTATTGATAATGAAAGTAGGACGTGGGCTTAAAGAATTATGCAAATTTCTCTATACATAAGGGAGAAGTCGTCTAATTAATCACTAGCCTACTCTTACCTCGCCAAAAGTGATTAGAGATAACCTCAATTTCCTGATAAAGTACCACTTATTGTGTAAAATTGCACTTGAAAGAGGGTAAAAAATGCCAATATAACCAGTTAACAAATGGTTACGCAATATAAACTCTCTAAAAATTGGTACTGAGTCATATCTGCTTCCATCTAAAGCTTAAGTCTTGAGACAATATATACCTTCTTTTTTTTATTGGACGAAGAGACAATATATGCTTGAAGGTTAACTGTTCCAATAATCCACGATGCGTGCTGACTTGGCAAAATCCCATTGGAAATGACAGAGTCATCGAAGAAAGTTACATCCATCGTTAGCTCGGAATGATCAGCCGATCCTCCAGGTGAAATGAGAGATTTGAAAAGCGGACCCCACATTCTTCCACCGACTCTGCGGGACCCACGTGCCGCCCACTCTCCTTTTCCACCAAAAAAAAAAAAAGGATGGACGGTTGTATGGCTATGAACTTTGCAGCGCCGTGGGGACACGCCCAGCTCGCAGCCGTCCGTAGTGCTGCTTTCGGTCTCCAACTAAGCGTGGACCCCACCGTGATCTTATTGACATTGAATATGTTTCCCCCGGGTTCATGACTGGTTATTAAGAATAAAATTTGTTAAATTAATCATAAGATTAATATTGAATAGGAAATTAAAAACACTGGCACTGAAAAAAGAGAAGAAAAAAGAGAATGGCAGTCACATGTTCTCTATCTATTATTAAACTGACATTCCTGTGTGTAATAATACGTTAACAAGATGAGGTTATATAAAGATGGGAAGAATAATAAAAACATTCTTTTTATATAAAAAAAAAGACAGAAACGTTCTCTTAACATTGCTTGAGGCATAAATCAAATCAAATGGTATTTGATATGCAAAATGTTTCATTTAATTATGGGCAATTACTGTTATCTATATCAATAAATTCAAGCACAATTTCACCTCTATACAACTCTCTATCCAGCATTCCGTCAAATATATTCTCTATGGACGCTAAATTTGAATTCCTAACTTTAATTCAGAATTTTAACTCCTTTGATCTCCACCACCACCTTGTTTTGCGTTTGGTCGGTTGTTGGTTGGGCCTTTGGCCTTTTTAATTTTGATGGGCTCGCCTTTTGTGAATGGAGGATATAGGCAATTTTCTCTTTTTGGAATTTACCAAAAACGAGATATGCCTAAATTTCTCTAATAGAATCTTATTAAGCTTACTTTATGTAAGTAAGCCTTATTACATTCTTCAAGTTCAACGAAACTTGCTTTCAGACCAACAACAACAACAAAAAACCCATCCCCCACTCATCCCGCATCAACTAGACAAGATTGACACCCCTTGGCCCCTCGACCCGACCTTCTTGACTCGACCCATTCCTTAGAATTGATCATATTTTAAAGATTATCTATGAAAGAAAGATAAACAAATTGGACATTGTTTAGTAATTTATTATCCGCAATCTTGTTTAAATTTTATCTAATGAAATGTGTTTTTTCTGTTTATTCACATGTTAGACTAGACCACCAGACAACTTAATTGATTTTTTTCCAAAAATAATATTTGAAAGATGACTTAAAATATAGACGGTTCCGATCGTTAAAAGACAACTTCCATATGATAATTTCATATTTGCATTGTCATAGTTTCTGCATGATGTTGTTGATAAGAGTTTTCACCAAGTTTTGAGACAATAACAAATTAAACAGCCAAAATAAAAAGAATGGGACAACAAGAAGTAGCTATCGATCCAACTGCAAAAGGCCAATGCTCCTTTTGACTCGTCGGACCCAGAGCTCGTCCTCTTCCCAGACAAATGTACTACTTGACCAAGTGGGGATTGTCGACGACCAAATAATGAAAGATTAGTATTTAGTAGGGCAATCCAAGGCCCAACAATCAAACGACACAATATCAACTGTCGTTCGTTTGAAACGGGACGCAAGTATAAAATCGGCAGCGGGAAGGGGGGGCATTCATTATAGTTACAGGTGGCAGCTGACAGGGGCCCCCCACCTACTCCTTTCCATGTAATCAACTCGCTCGCTCACTCACCTGAACACTGTTGTATATACGGCTCTGCGAGTGTGAGTTTGACCTATATATACATTTATATATATAATTGGCGGGAAAAGAAGAGTTTCGGCGAGAGAGAGATGAAGGAAATGAGAGGGAAAGGTGCGGAGGAGACGGTGAACGAGAGATACACACAGTGGAAGTCGCTGGTGCCAGTGCTCTACGACTGGCTCGCCAACCACAACCTCGTTTGGCCTTCTCTCTCTTGCAGGTCAGTACTCTCCCTCTAGGGTTTCCTTCTTCTTCTTTAATTGAAAACGTTCGTATTTTGATATAGTTTATCTCTTGATTTAGCACAATGTCGATGGTCCCTGCATATCTAGTGTTTCTTCAAGCATTAATTAGTTCCGTTTTTGGTTTATTTACTGTTTGGGTTTGGGGATAATGTGCGTGAAGTTAAAGAAAAGTAAATTGTTGGGGAAAATGTGTTGTCTTGTTGATCTGGGTGTAATGTATGCTTGTTGTAATGGTTGTGCTTATTTTGAGCTTTTGATGTTGTGGAATCTGTGTGCCGTCGCAAAAGGAGGTACATTGAAGCTGCTTGGTTTGATGTATTGGTGTTTCATTTGTGATTGTTCACCTTTAACTTTAAGTGAATAAAAGTTTGATTCATTTTAGCTTTTGTATTTGTAGATGGGGTCCGCAACTAGAGCAAGCCACTTACAAGAACCGTCAGCGCCTGTATCTTTCTGAACAGGTACGATGATTTTCTCTTGTAGCATCTGAATCTTCATTTTGTCAGTTGCTGATATAGGAGGCTTCCAAAAAAAAAAGTTGCTGTAATTGTTTTTAATGGAAAAGCAACTAATTCAGTCAAGATTGCTCATTAAGATAATCGTATGCTTATAATCATGTGCCACTAGCGTTGCAATGTTAAGTTTGAACATTACTTATTGGTCGTGTGTCAGATATTTGTGATGTAATGTGGAATGATTTTTTCAGCTGTCAATGCTATGCATCCCTATGTGAAAATTAGTGTTCCATAATCATATAATATTATAGTATATCTACATATCATTTCTTTGGCATCATGGGCATTTGCATTTACTTGCCTGCACATGTAGTGTTGATATTATGTGAATATATATCTTGTTTCTTTTAGTCTCTTTATCTTTGTACCATATTTTTTTTTTGGTAATAATCTTTGTACCATATTTTGCTTACCTTTGTATTTTTGTTCAGACTGATGGCAGTGTTCCAAATACACTTGTCATTGCAAACTGTGAAGTTGTCAAACCTAGGGTTGCAGCTGCAGAGCATATATCACAGGTTGCGTCATGATGAAAATCAATATGCATCTTTCTGTTCACTGATGCCTTTCATTTTCTTGCCTTAAACTGATATCCCTTAAATTGTTAACTCATTTATTGACAAATTACGGTATCTTTTGCTTGATCTTTACAGTTCAATGAAGAAGCGCGCTCTCCTTTTGTAAAAAAGTATAAAACTATTATACATCCTGGTGAGGTATACCATAATTTAAAAATGACTCTGCTTAGAGTCTTTTCTGCTCAATGAGTTCTTAAGGAGGTTGCTTGATGTAATTGCTGATACCTTTTGAGGATAATTTCTATTATTGGAAATGGAAAGTGGATTATATTGTAAAGATGAAAAGCATTCAACTATATATGAACACTTGCTGATTGAAATAGTCAACATGCCAAGGAGATAATTTCTTCCAAATAACGATCAGTGAATTATAGGAGTCTCTGTTATAGTGGTTAAGCCTGTGCATTTGATTCATTGGTGGCATACATTTAAATTGATGTTTCTTTCTATGAGTTATTGATCTTTACTTTATTCTTTGAGATTTGCATGTATAAGTCTTTTCGCATGCGGGAAAACTAATGCCTAGACCAAATTGGGTATGTGTTGTGAATAACTACTATTAAATTCAGGACCAAGCTAATGGAAATTAATACCCCTAAGATGCTTTAAAGATATGTAGTTAATGTACTTGAAAATCACGACCCACAGAATAATGAAAAGATTCTATAGGTCATTTTCCATTACGGATGCTGACCGAAATGCCCATTACACTTTTGTATGCAAATTTTAATGCTATTTGAAAAGGAATGAAACCAACTATAGTTGGAAACTCATCCATCCACTATTGCACTTATTACCTTCTCTGTGTTGGAAATCGTTCGGTTTGATCAACTGTCTGCAAAACCACTGAACCATAACCCCAAAAATTCCCCACCCTCCTCCAAATCCAAATTGTTGTAAACCCATCTTCAAGATATTTTCTTCTAATTCCATTGCAATAAAAAGCTTGGATTTTGTCAGCAATTTATGATTATGTTTTGCAGGTGAACAGAATAAGGGAACTCCCACAGAATAGTAAGATAGTGGCCACACACACTGACAGTCCTGATGTAAGCATTTAGTTTCATGTTTTATTCTTTCGGACGAGTATTCGAGGGTTTTTCAGTTACAGTTGTTAATTTTATTCAATTTTTTTTTGTATTCTAAAGTTTATATAGACTGGTTGATCACGAGGTGGATAAAGTTCTTGAACTTGTAACAGGTTCTCATTTGGGATATTGAGGCTCAACCTAATCGACATGCTGTCCTGGGAGCTTCAAATTCTCGTCCAGATCTGGTCTGCCCTGTTTAGAGAAAACTAATTTTTCCCCTCGCAGCGTTTTACTTTGATTGATTCAGTTGGTATTTGTTGCATGGTGCATAATTATCTGTTTATGTTTCAATATCTCCAAATGGTGTACCTTTAGATCTGCACCAACTATGGGCTTCTTAAATCTTTGGATGGTTATATTATAGCTTATAATAATTATTAATACCGTCATCATAGTCATAATCACCATATACTTAAATGATAATTCATCCATTTCATTAGCTTCGTTATATGTTCTCTCCTTTTCGGGATAGGTGCTTACTAAATTTTATGACATTCTCTTGCAGCTATTGACCGGTCATCAAGATAATGCCGAATTCGCTCTTTCTATGTGCCACTCTGAACCCTTTGTGCTCTCTGGAGGTTGGAAGTTTCTATTTTAGTGTTGTATGTTTCAGTGCTTTGTTTATTTAAACTGAACTGATAAGGTAGGAAACAATGTGTAAAGGGCTATTAATTGAAGCCTAATATCAATTGGACTGCATTGGTAATATAATTAATTTAGTTTGCCTTTATTGTGAATACAATTCGCTTCTTTTACCTTTTGTGTTTGTGTAAACTTCAATGCATCCATGCAAATGAATTACACACTGCATGAGCCATGTTCCTACTTTCCTTGTATCTTCTGAATGGGGAGATCTTTGCGCAGGGAAGGATAAATCAGTGATTTTGTGGAGTATTCATGATCATATCTCAACTTTAGCATCAGATCCAGGGTCCGCGAGGTCTCCAGGATCTGGAGGTGCCAATGCTAAACATGCCTCTAAGACTGGTGGGAGTAATGACAAACCCACAGATAGCCCTTCTATTGAGCCACGGGGTATCTATCAAGGGCATGGGGATACTGTTGAGGATGTGCAATTCTGCCCAACTAGGTATGTGCTGATCAATCATCAAATGCATTTCATGATTCTCGACTTGTTTTGTTGGCACTGCCACACCTTGTTTCCACCCATGCACTGGCATCTATAACTTTTTCTTTTTGGGTGAGGAAGTTTCTCAATGAAGATATAGTAGTTTAAGCTGATGGTACTGATTCACTTTTCGAATGATTTCTTCTGTTTGTTATTTATGTGTTGCAGTGCACAAGAGTTCTGTAGTGTAGGCGATGATTCTTGCCTCATACTGTGGGATACACGAGCTGGCTCTAGTCCAGTTGTCAAGGTTCTATTCTCTCTCTCTCTCTCTCTCTCTCTCTCTCTCTCTCTCTCTCTCTCTCTCTCTCTCTACATGTGTGCAAGTATAGTTCTAGAGGTAATTTTTATTTAATGTTGATTTGCATTTCTTATATTCGTATTCTTTTACTTATCTGAGCAGGTTGAGAAAGCTCATGATGCTGATCTTCATTGTGTTGATTGGAATCCGAATGACGTCAATCTCATTCTTACAGGGTATCTGCATCTTTCATGATTTACAAGATTAACTTTGCTGTCCACCCGTGCAAAATAAGAACTTTGCTGTCCTGATCACGATCTTTATATTGCTGTTTTGAAATTTTAGTTTCTGCACCTATGCAAAAATAAAAAATAAAATTGTCACACAGAAATCATGCTCTTCGGTTGCACTTATCTCAGTTTGCTTTTGCCTTTTAGGTCTGCTGATAATACTGTTCGCATGTTTGATCGCCGGAACCTCACTTCCGGGCAAGTTGGATCACCCATTCATACATTTGAGGGTCATAATGCAGCTGTCCTCTGTGTACAGGTGCCAGGAAAATGTTCTAGCTTCTTCATTAACTTTGTTTCTGCTTATTGCTTTTTATTATATTCCTCGAGAATTACATTTATTTTATTTTTGTTTGTTTGTGTTTCATTTTGTTGCTGTTCTAGTGGTCTCCTGACAAGTCATCTGTCTTTGGGAGTTCTGCTGAGGATGGTGTATTAAACATCTGGGATCATGAAAAGGTGTGAAGCTATACACTTCACTACCCAAAAAGTTGTGATTTATTATTTCCTTCCTACCTGTGCCATTAAATTGAGAGAGAAAAAAAACTTTATTGCCGCCTTTCAGATTGGTAAGAAGCAAGACTCTGTTGGATCAAAGCCGTCAAATGCTCCTCCAGGATTGTTCTTCCGACATGCTGGTCATAGGTATGTATGATTTATATTCATGGTCTTAGGAGATTGGCAGTGTTACAATGGAGATAACAAGTGCATGCATGCAATTTAGTGTGTGGAGATCTATCTGCTTGATGATGTTGACAGCTAACTCCTCACTATGCATGTACAATTGTTTACCTGGTTGTGTATTACCAATTTGTCACTGTATTGGGAACTTATTGAATGGGGGGTTTCATGCAAACCATTATGGGAAAACTTTATCGTATGTTACAATTGGCCTGATCAGCTACTATTTATATTAGGAAAATAAATTATTTGGATAATTATGTACTCATAGTAATATTGGGGAAGCAACTGCAACCTTGTATTGTTACCTTTACAATACTTTCATTTACTATATTGAGCTTGGTTTATGCATGGTAGGGACAAGATTGTTGATTTTCATTGGAATGCATCTGATCCGTGGACAATAGTTAGTGTCTCTGATGATTGTGGAAGTACCGGAGGTGGTGGTACACTCCAGGTAACAAATTTTTTTTTTAGAAACGTACAGGGTATCTGTAAGCAGACATCTCTCTCTCTCTCTCTCTCTCTCTCTCTCTCTCTGATGTTTTCCTGCTAAGTTCTGTACAAGTGCATAATATTTGTTTAGTGTTTGATGAACAGTTATTGTTTATGTTGCAGATATGGCGGATGATTGATTTGATTTACAGGCCTGAGGAAGAAGTCCTCGCAGAGCTGGATACGTTCAAATCGCACCTAATGACATGCCAGGCGTGATGTCTCCTGCACATTTCCAGAAAACGTTGGATAAACTCAACCCTCTTCTTTAATCTTTCGAACCAGTCCGCAAAGGCAATGACCCCTTCTCCCCTAGTCCGTAGTCCATCTTAAGAGACAAAAAAGAAAAGTACAACTTTTCGTTCATCTGGTGTAGTAACATTTCTTTTCAGTAGGCGGTGTAGTAGGAACTTTAGTTGGCCTATCTCGGAAAATCTGACTATGATTATTACGTACAAGTACACCCCGTATGAATTTTTATTAACCCCAAAAGACTTGAAACTTGAAACTTGGAGGCCTGTAAAAAGGGTCTTGAACTTGATGCTTAGCGGCCTCTTTCAGATCATGGATTGGATTTTAACTGGATTGCATCTGAGTTTGTGTTATTGATTTGAGCCTAGGATATGATGAGCTTCAAGTTATGGGCTTGAGTTGAATCCATATACAAAATTTAGATAGAGATAGAGAAAGGCAAATATCAATGTTATAAGATTCAGTATTAAACTGTTCTAAAGTTAATCAATGATGGGTTAGTTTTCTATGAGGTGCGATGCGAGGTGCCCACCCATCTAGTTGCTTAATAGAGAGGGTTTGTACTTATTAAAGGAGAAAATATATTAGTAATATATTTACTTAGAAAATCATGCATAATTTAAGTAAACTTTTATTTAGGTGACCTATCTTTGTATGTACTGTTTGATTTGATCCCGTTTTAATCTATATAATCAACAACCGTGCATCTGTCTTTCAAACGTAATAAAATGGTTTAAATATTGCATTAATTTTATTATTACTATTTTTAGTACAAACGATAGTCTAAATTGTAAGGAGGGGATTTCTTACACACACAACCAAGATGCCATGGATGTTTGACCATTTTTCACTTGGCTAGACCCGTTGGCACATGGCGTTAATTTTTGTCAACTAAATGTGCACCTTTTTTCCCAGCCAAAAAAGGATAATTTCTACAATCGAATCACATTTTGTATGGCTTTAATTCTACTCTAGTTTATGTAGTTTGTCTAAGTTCAATTTTGTGGATGCCTCCCACACGTTATATCAGTAAAATTGATGAAATGTTCAGTTTAATTTGAGCTATGTAGATGTGGTTAAAAAATTCTAAGATTATTTTTATATAACCGATTTTGAAGGAGGTAATCAAATACATGACATTTTTTCTTTTGTCAAAATTAGGAAGGGAAGGGGGTTTGTTCACACATACTACCAAAGTACTATGAGGGTTCGAACATGAGACCATTGGTATGTAGCCCTTTTCACAAAGCTAAACTCCGGTTGCTGGAACATATGACATTAAATACGTAAATCTTAGTTATAACTACCCATTTTATAAATCTTAGTATGAATTACAAAGGAATTGGTATAAAATTATATTATTATGTTTTGGTGAATTATATTGTGTTATTCGAACATGAGACCATTGGTATGTAGCCCTTTTCGCAAAGCTAAACTCCGGTTGCTGGAACATATGACATTAAATACGTAAATCTTAGTTATAACTACCCATTTTATAAATCTTAGTATGAATTACAAAGGAATTGGTATAAAATTATATTATTATGTTTTGGTGAATTATATTGTGTTATTATAGGTGGGAAAAGTAATTTGGCTTATAAGTCATAACCATATCATAATAATATTCTTTGTATTTTTTAATAAAAAATACCTCATATAATAACGTCCCTTTGACAATAAAAATAAAAATAGAAATAAAAAGTCCCTTAATACAATTCTACTTGATCAATCAATGAAGAACTGGAGATAGCTTTTGCGTTTTATCCCTGCGAAAACCTCTGTAAACACCTCTCTCTCTCTCTCTCTCTCTGAAATCGAATCGAAGTAGAAGAAGGAGAACAAAAAGATGGGTAGGAGGATCTCCTCCCGTACAACAAGGACGACCCTTGTCTTCTGTGTGCTCCTCCTCATCTCCTCAGCCCACTGCTTCTACCTCCCAGGCGTTGCTCCTCGCGATTTCCACACTGTATGCTCTCTTCGAATCTCATTTTGTCTTTTCTCCCTTAAAATTCGTTGACCCTTCTGTTGGTTCTTCCTATAATTACTTTCCACGTCTTCCTTAGTCTGTGCGTTGGCGCTGCATCGTTGTGGGTTTGTCTTTGTTTCCACTTAACCAGTGTTGGATCTGGGGTTCTGGGCTTGATATATTTTCGTTTTTTCGTAGATCTATGCCAATGGTTTCTGGGGTCTGTGTTTTGGATTGGATTTTTGAGCTTGTGGTTTAATAAAGCTGCTGCTTCTATTTCAAACAAATTTTTTTTGAGTATGCGGTATACAGTGGTTTTAATAATTCGGCTTCAGTATACTTGCGGGTAAAAAGAGTTTAAGAATCTGTTTTGTTGCAGGGTTACACCATTTTTATGTTTCGTATGATGAAACGTAACAAAAGCGATCGAGTTTTTAGAGTATCAAAAGTAAAATATGGTTGGAAATAATAATGTCATATCACCATGAAACAAAATTTAGATAATCAAGAAGCAACAAAAGCATTGAATGCTGCCAAAGTGAGGAACCGGCTATTTTACTGATATAACGAAACATTTCTGTGTCTTTTATATTTGTGATTGAATTATTGTACTTTTTAAAACATAATGGGATTGTAGAAGTGTAATGATTGTAGCCTGGACTTCAAATTGAATAGATTTTTACTGTGGCACTCAATTATTCATTTCCGTTTATTGTTTTCCATATTTATTATCAAAGTACCAATATTTGTTCTGTGGTTCTCTTCTTTCTGACAGGGAGATGACCTTTCTATCAAAGTGAACAAACTTTCATCTACAAAGACACAACTCCCATATGATTACTACTTCTTAAAATATTGTACCCCCAAACAGATTGAAAACAGTGCAGAAAATCTGGGGGAGGTTCTCCGCGGTGACCGCATTGAGAATTCTGTATACTCTGTGAGCATTTATAACCCTTTTGCCACTTTGGCAACCCAAGTAGTCGAGAAGTGTTTGAACAACGTTGTCAATCCCATTTATTATACTTCATTTTTAAAACCTGTATTTATAAATTCTTTTCCCAGTTCAAAATGAGGGAGGAGCAATCCTGTGTAGTAGCTTGTCGAGTAAAGCTTGATGCTGAATCTGCAAAAAATTTCAAGGAAAAAATTGATGATAAATATCGAGCACAAATGTAAGTAAATATGTTATGCCAGTATTACTATTTTCCGAGTTTGTAATTTCAAGTTGTCTCTTCATTTTTCATCTTTTACTTTTTATGTCTAATTTTCATTCCTATATGATTTGTCTGCTTTATCCCTAGTTTAATATAAAGGAGATGATCAGTTTACCTTGCTTGTTGGTCTAATTGAGACCTCTGAATTGGCTGCAGGATTTTGGATAACCTTCCAGTTGCTGTTCTTAGACAAAGGCGGGATGGAAGTCCCTCAACAACTTATGAACATGGATTCGGTGTTGGATTCAAAGGAAATTATGCTGGGGTATGGCTCAGAAAGCAATTTCTAATGTTGAAGTAAGACTTGTTTACATTAGCTTATACTTTTATTTGTTTCACAGAGTAAAGAGGAAAGATATTTCATCAACAACCACTTGAGCTTCCGAGTTATGTACCACAAAGATCCTGAGACAGATTCTGCTCGAATTGTTGGGTTTGAGGTTACTCCAAACAGGTGCTATACCTTTTTCCTTCTGCCTCCTTTTCTGGCTAGTTTGTTTCATTTCAGTTTTGCCTTATGTCAGTCAACCTTCATTCAGTAAAGGTTTTGTATGGTTGGATGGTAGAAAAACTGTAATTCAGTTTAAATAAAAGAAAAGAAGCTGGATACATTTTGTGTACATTTCTCTAGTGATGCATGTTCAGTTGACCTCTTTAAACTCTGAAGTTAGAAATGATGTTGGAAGTAAAAGAATAGAAACTTTGGTAATCTATTCTTGGTTTCTAGAGGGTCCTTCCCTTACAGAAAGCTAGGCTTTCCACGGAGATGCTTCTAAGTTGACTTTTATAGTCAGCTGCATAGTAAAAGAAGGGTTTAACTGGTAAAGAGTTCTCTCTGCTGACAGACACTTGGTACTTTTCTGTTCCTTTATGCTGTATGTCCATCTTAAAGTTATAGCATGTAATGGATTTTTTTCTTTTTCTTGGCCAAGTGATGACTTCTTTACTTTATAACCCTTTCGTTTCAAATTGATATTTAAAGCGTACTGCTTTGCGTACAAGACTTACTAGTAAGAAACTAGCAATTCATGGAAAATGATCACTTTCTGCTCATTAAGAATTGAATAGCTTTATTATGATTCCCTTGTTTACTCACATACCTCTTGTCAACAGTATCAATCACGAATATAAGGAGTGGAATGATAAGAATACTCAGTTGGCAACATGCAATAAAGACACGAAAAATCTACCACCGGGAAGCGCTGTTCCACAAGAAGTTGACAAAGATAAGGAGATTGTATTTACATATGATGTCTCTTTTAAGGTACATAATTTCTTGAACTCTAGACTACTATTTCTTCCCTTTTACAATCTTATGAACTTTTGCCTCCCTCCCCCCCAGGAAAGTGATATCAAATGGGCATCTCGTTGGGACACATACCTCCTCATGAATGATGATCAGATCCACTGGTTCTCAATTATAAATTCTCTTATGATTGTCCTCTTCTTATCTGGTATGGTGGCTATGATCATGATGAGAACTCTATACAGAGATATCGCCAACTATAATCAATTGGACACCCAAGAGGAGGCTCAAGAAGAAACTGGATGGAAGCTTGTTAATGGAGATGTTTTTAGGGCACCAATCAATTCCAATTTACTTTGCGTTTACGTTGGGACGGGGGTTCAGATCTTTGGAATGACACTCGTAACCATGATATTTGCATTGCTGGGCTTCTTGTCTCCTTCCAACCGAGGAGGTCTCATGACCGCCATGGTTCTCTTGTGGGTTTTCATGGGCTTATTTGCTGGTTACTCCTCTGCACGATTGTACAAAATGTTCAAGGGTACAGAGTGGAAGAGGAATACCTTAAAGACTGCCTTTATGTTTCCAGGAATTCTTTTTGCCGTCTTCTTTGTGCTGAATGCCCTAATTTGGGGGGAGAAGTCTTCTGGGGCTGTGCCCTTTGGGACAATGTTTGCTCTCGTTTGCTTATGGTTCGGAATATCAGTCCCCTTGGTCTTTGTGGGTAGTTATTTGGGGTTCAAGAAACCACCTGTTGAAGACCCTGTGAAGACTAACAAAATTCCTCGGCAGGTGCCGGAGCAGGCGTGGTATATGAAACCAGTGTTCTCTATACTTATTGGAGGCATTCTTCCATTTGGAGCTGTTTTCATTGAGCTGTTCTTTATCTTGACATCAATTTGGCTGAACCAGTTCTATTATATCTTCGGCTTCCTTTTTATTGTGTTTGTTATCCTTTTGATCACTTGTGCGGAGATAACAATGGTGCTATGCTACTTCCAGTTATGCAGTGAAGACTACCACTGGTGGTGGAGATCATACCTGACCGCTGGCTCGTCTGCCCTTTACCTTCTCCTTTACTCTGCCTTCTACTTCTTTACCAAGTTGGAGATCACAAAGCTAGTTTCGGGCATCCTTTACTTTGGGTACATGCTAATTGTTTCATATGCTTTCTTTGTCCTGACCGGAACCATTGGTTTCTACGCATGCTTCTGGTTTGTTCGGAAGATCTACTCCTCTGTGAAGATTGACTGATCCAGAGATGCATGTGAAAGGTTGAGGCCAAGATGAAAAATCAGACCTACATTAGAGAGCAGAAGGTGTTTGAGTTTTTCATTGGCTTTCAGAAGATGAGTATAAAAGGAGACTTTCTGAATCTCACCGAAACCTTCTATTTTGTTTATTGTAGAATAGAGGTTGACCTGTTTTTTTGTTTACAATGTTGTGAAACTGTACTTGGTAGTTTAAGCTTTGTTGCTTCTATATATCGTCACCCTACATATTAACGATTCTGTATTGTCTTAGTTGTTCCAATTGAAGCTCTTAAAATCTATCAGTACTCTCATCGTCAGTGACATCAAATATTGCAACTCTACAGTCTTGCACTATAATTCTTCTTGTACCAAAGACAGTAAATATCATTACGTATCTTTTGAAAATTACAGTTTTGGGTGGTAGGGTAACAGTTTTCTGGAATTGCTTGAATAAATGGTCATTTTATTCGCATCCTTATTTTTTGTTCACCACTCTGTAAATCTCATAAAATCAATTTTATCTTTATTTATTTGATTTTTGTATCTGAATCTTTTCCCTTTTCTTCCACCCTTCCCTTGTGCATGCATGGCCATCCTTTGATGCTTGCTCGGAGATCGGGGTCGACTCAATATCGAGACCAACCAGTCCATCTGTAAGAACATTATTCACCGAAAAGACAACTTGAATCGTATGTATAAAATTTTGCCACACATTTGTACGAAGTTACAATATATCCTTCTTAATAAGTTAAGAGAAAACTAGCGGGCAAAATTCTGGCAAGCCCATGAGCTTAGAAATGTAACTCTGTCAAGTTCCTATTATACACATTCAAGTTAGCTCAAATCCATGACTGTCCTACCAAAGAAAAGCCCACGACTCTGATATCAACATATTATATGTATCGCCATACAGTCAAGCCTAACCCAAAAAACCACAGGGAAGTTGAAGGTGCTCTCTGGTACAGCGGCACAGAGCATTGCTGAAGCGAAAAATATGACAATCAGCAAGACGTCGCGGTCATCAGCTCGAGCATGATCTTGATTTCCTATTCTTCTGCCTGCATGTGATTTTGCAATGTGATCATTACCAGTACATGCCAAAAGAGAGAGATTTGGTTGTTTTGGGAAAAAAAGGGAGGGGGTTGAATATTAGCCACCAACCAGAATGAGTCCTTCTTTTCTTGTGCTAGTAACTCTTCAAATGATATTTCACTATATTTCTCATCTGTGCTCTCCACTTGTTCCCTGGATTTGGCCTTCAACTCCATGCAGGCACTAATTTCAAGCATCTGTGATGATAAGGAAGACGTATCATCAGATTATGTTGGAAAAATGAGAGCAAGGGAGAACCACACTTCCAATAAACGTTATTATTTAAATTTTTGTAATGAGATATTAGCAGAATGGAAAAAGAAAAAGCTAAAAAAACTGCAGACGTCTTCAAGATTTTGTAAGAAAAAGGTCATTTCACTCATATATGATGCCAAACTTCTTCAATCATAACTTTCAAGGTATTTAGGACAACAATCCAAGTTAAATTAGCGTAGGCACCACCTCAACAGATATCTAAGGCCTCTTATCATATGCTATCTTACAAATTAAAGGAATTTATATTTATACCTTCTTGTATGCTGGTGAAAGCTTAAGCTGTTGTTGAAGCCAATTGTAGACAGACGCATCCTCTTCCAGTCTCTTCTGTTCTAACTCTAGCTTGCATATCTGAAATATCGATGCATAAATCCTCTTGAAAGGTGACCCAAGTACTTGGTAACATTACTACCTACCAAATTCCAAAACGTTTTTATATAGCCAGCCAACCTGTTGACGAAGGCGGTCAAAAGAAGATCTGTCTGCCTTGAATAGTAGAGCCTTTGTTATTGTGAATTTACGTTGAATGACATCAGCCCTGTCATAAAAAAGAAAAAAAAAAAGGCAGAAAGTATCAGTACTGATGAATTTGAGAAGCAGAAGATGGTTCTAGAAAATCAATAGGATGAAGAGTCTAAAGGAAGAACGGAAATTTCATTATGACTTCAAAAATAATCACATGTTTCATGTTTGTGGACTAATAACAGGAAACAGTGTCATTTGCAGGGGAGGAGGGTGGGGCTTTAAGGACAAGTTCAGATGAGAAACAATTTTGTGAATAAATTGTGAGTGTCGAAACAGTTACAGTTCATATTACACACTTAATACTTCATACACATTATAAACACAGAACAGGGAGAAGGGATTAGCTCCTTGAAAAAAGTTCTAGAACATACTTGTGCTGTAACTCATTTCTAGCCGCCACCAAGCAATTAGCAAATTGTCCAACCTGCGTACAAGAGAAAGCAAAGAATTATAAAGTTGAAGGTAATTCGGTGTTTAATTTAATTATCCCGCTATCATTCATCTATAAATAAGATATGCTTGGCAAGTCACATGTGTTATGGACTTCAAGAGGCTTTGGGTGTATCTATAAGCAAAATTAAACCCAGAAATGAGAAGAATAAGAACAGGACATCTATCATTTAGTTCTAGCTATCTATCAATGTCTCTTTATCAATTTTCTCAAATTTACCCTAATTTGAATTCCCAAGATTACAATGAGGCTGAGGATAACTTATAACATAAACTGGGCCGAAAAAGCTAAAAAAATCGCTCTTATAGTACAACTGTAAAAGACACAAACAGCGAATTTCATTCATCCCATGCGTTCCTGAGATAATAAATAGACTGATATTTTCAGGACCTAATTTGACTAACAGACAATAAGATGACCTGAAGGTGCAAACTCCCATAAGCTCAAGCTATCTGATTCTTCTATAACACTAAATCAAGATTCGAAAGTGCAGAAATAATCAACTATGGTAAAGAACAACAATACGGAAATATATTTGAGGCATTTTATTCCACAAGAAATTCCATGAAGTCATTTAGTCCAATTTTATGGGAAATGCAGAAAAGCCTACAATATAATATAAGCTCATATCCTTGAATCCAACATTTCATCTTTCGTTATTGTTTATTGAGCTGTTTATATAGATTTTGAGATGTTAAACCTCATTTGTAACCTTGGACGTAGTTAACATAAGTTGATCACTTTCTCAGCCAAGACTAAAGGTGATCCTTAACATATAAGCTTTAGGAATAAAAATCCTCACAGAACCACAATTAAGATTTCAAAATGATGTATCAAAACCCAAATTGCCCTGGGAGGAATCAAGCAAATGGCAACATTCTAACTTCTTAATGGTCTCATTATCATCATATGAAGGAACTAATTGTTACCTCATTCTCCACCTGCTCAAGATTCCATACATTATTTCAAATATCTATTTTCACACTAGGGATGCCAGATATCTCTTCCTGCTGAAGTAACCATCTAACCAACAAAGTTAATCCTATACTTCTGTAATGGCGTAACCACGTTTAAAGAGAAGAGTAGGTTGTAAGAGTGCAACAAAACTACTCCATGCAGTGTATTTCCTCATTGCAAGAAAAAGGATGGAATTAGACAGAACCATTGACTCTTCTAATATCTTAAAGATGAATGTACATATCGCACATTTTTTTTCAAATTTCATAAGGTATCTCATCTCAACAGTACAAGTTACAGCTAAAATCAATTGTGCTCCATTAAATTTATCATTAGCAAGGACAAGTTAGGCAAAACACCAATTAAACCAAACCCCACAGATATCAATAATCACTACATTAATTATAAAACCCTTGTGAAACAAAAATAAATAAATAACAAATCCATTTCTATAACATGACACAGTAAAAAACCATAACTAAACAGCAAAACGTTATTTTTTTAAAAATGACAATTAAAAATATAAAACCTTTGGGAACGAAATTTAAGAACCTGAGCAAGTGTCAATTTCTTGGACTCATGGCACTCCATAAGCTCATCGTATTGTTGCTTGATCTTCCTCTGTGTGGCACTACTCGATGATGTAAACGGGTAAAAACATACCAATTCCTCATGGACCCGAGAACCCAAACCCGGACCGGAATTTTCCTTATCACGCATATGAAAACAATTATCTTCTTCTTCTTCTTCCAAATGCGATGAACTCTTCTTCTTGGCTCTCCTCTTCTTCTTCTTCACTCTTTGATCCCCGCCCGACCCGAGTTTCTCAACGTCCAGACCCGACCTGGCGTCATCCGGGTCACCACCTTCTCTGTTCACAAACAAGCTCGCCCATTTTGGAGAATCAGATGGTAAGATCTCAACGAGGAGCTTGTGGGGTGGATTGGCGATATGGGTCGGGTCATTTTCATGGGTTAGATGGGTTTTGCCCAGAGTTTCAGACAATGAACGCTTGAGTTCAAAAAGGTCGTTCTGGGTCTGTTGCTTTTGCTCTGTTTTTCTCAGAATTTTGAAAACAGAGAAGGAGCAGATGAAGAGAGAGAAGGTGAAGAAGAAGATGAACGCGCACAAAGAGAACATGGGTTGTGTTTGAGAGTGACACTGTATTGGGATTGGAAATTTAGAAGCCAGATTGGATAAATACAAAGAGGAAGCCACCATTGAAACGCGTCATTCACAAAAAACAGAGAGACGCGCAGAGAGAGAGAGAGAGAGAGAGAGAGAGAGAGAGAGAGAGAGAGAGAGAGATCTGAGAAACTAACGAATTTGGGTTAGGTTTTTAAATGAAAAGGGTATAATTGTCTTTTTAATGACTAATGTAAGGTGGGTCAACAAATCTGGTATATATATATATATATATATATATATATATATATATATATATATATATATATATATATATATATATATATATATATATATATATATATGGGCTTTATATGTGAATGTTGCTAATTTAGAGTTTGTGAATTTGTGAGTATTAAAGTAAAAGTGGTGTGGGGGTCTGATTGATTGAAAGTGAGGCAAACTGCTGAGAAAGAAATGAAATGAGAGGAAATGGTGTTGGTTCTTTCCTAGTACGCTGCTTTGAAACTTCTATTATCTTATTCGCTTCACTCAGTCTCACACCTTGTGTTGCTTTTCTAATTTTCTCATTTCTATGGAGGATGATTTGGGCCTGCGTGTGCGACAAGGGCTGTCGTTTTGTATCACATAACAAACTGTGTGTGGTATTTTGGGAAATGCTAGGATAAGTCGTTTGTAAACCTGACTGAAATTTAACGGCTCATGCATGTGGATTTTATTGTAAGACTCATGTGTATATTTAAAAATCATTAATGGTCAATGAGCGACTAACTATAGCATTTCTAATAGGATAATAAGTGTAAGACTCAAAATTGTATACTTTTATGTTATATATAATATATATATATGCACATAGGTCAAATTAAGATGTTAGTGGGTTTCATTTTTTGGCTTCTGAGGTTTTTCTTTGGAGATTTGCATTCAAGATTGTATTTTTATAAGGTGGTTTGAGTATTTCTAAACGTATAATAAGGTTCATATTTGACCCCTTGATTTGAATTTGTCGAAAAAATAGACTATGAAATTAGTTTTGAAGATACGTACAGAGAGGGACTAGTTTCTGATAAGCTTCATCAGATGAAGATGTTATAGGTGTCAATGGTCAACTAAGAAATGATGATGTGATGGGATGGGACCATAAACCTCTCCTATTGGTGGCGCATTAACTTTGTTCAAATCCTACTTTGTTTTGAAATCTTGAAGAGTTCTAATTACCATTTTCTTATTCTACTACTTTACGTAACTTACTGTTTAATTTAATTACCATTACGGCAAATCAGAGGTGCCCTGCATTCATGTCCGGTCAGGTGCACCATGTTCCATGTGATGGAATGGTCACGTAAGATCTCAAGGAAAGGCCAGCCAGGACAAACTTCACTGTTTTATACATCAATGTGTTAGTAAACTTACCACAATTAAAGTGTGGTTGGAATAACTTTCACAAGAACAAAGCAATTGAACTTTCTATTATTACCATTGGAAACTTTCTTACAAGAACAAAGCAATGGAACTATTGCTTTCTCAAATACATAACAATTGAAATATTTCAATTACTTGGAAGCCAGATGCTTCCATACTAACTACAACATTTGCACATGGACTCAATTAGTATCATCTCGATGTGCTTTCGATCCCCACATTGATTCCGCCATTTTTGTAGCATGCAGGGCACACCGATGAAAACAGAGGATAGTATATACATACAGCTTCTACACAAACATCTCAAACTCTGTAGGCTTTCAACCATGTGGTGTGTTGTATATTTGTACAACTTCACCCTGGAAGAGCCAAAATTGAATGGACCAAATGATTGCACTGACCTTGTGTGTACTAAACATACCCCAGGATAATTAACTGATTGCTGTATTGGTGTGTAAAGAAATCAATATATGACCTTCATTCGTTTGCTTGAGAGACTGAGAATCACTAGCTGCAAATGGCCTCCACAGAGAGTTTCTTCATGACATTTGGACATGGATCACCTCCGAAATTCTCAGGTGCTACAGTTACTGAGCATGAGTTCTGCCCAATACAACTCTGCAAGAATAAAGTCATTCTTTAATATTTATGTATGATGGGAACAAGGGAGGTAGGAGTTAAAAAAACCCAAGTAATAAAGCATTAAACTGAGATAAGTTGGCCTAAGAAAATCAAAATGAGCCTTTAAGAGGCAAAAATTTATTTTGTGTGATTGGTGAAACTATTTGGATTCTTTTGAAACAACTGAGTTCATGAGTCCAAAGCTGGACTGTCTTTGTTGACATGGATCAGCATTGGACAATGAGAAACAAGGGATTTGTCTATAAGACCAAAAACTTTCTGGTTAGAGCTGAGTATTTGGAGAACCAGTAAACTCGGAAGGAAGTTCCATGGCAGGAGTTGCTAGCAAATTTATCAGTTCGAATACAAGAAAACATATATGAAACAAGTTGTGCAAGATAGTAGTAGTATACCCTTTGAAAAGCATCATATGAATTGTGCGCATGACAGCTTCCCTCACGGAAGCTTCCACAAACCCCTTCTGGCGTTCCAAAGCTAGCAAACTTTATTGATGATATTTTCTGCCCATAGCCACATGACAAATGGGCTTTAGGCCTCACAGGTTTTTTGACCTTGCCTGAGGCTTGCATTTGCCAACTCATAAGATTTGGTTGCCACTCATAAATATCAGCACATATGCTATCTATTTCCCTTCTGACCAAAAATATCCCATTTGGATCTCCACCCCACTCTTCTAAAACAACCAACAAATTGCCTGTTGGATTTAGCCATGTGCGAGGAACATGATACCTGAAATTATTAACAAGTAACCAGTTTGTCAGTTACCTGTGAGAAAGCATAACCAGAGCTACAAATAACGTTTACTTACCATCTCTGGGAAGCCTCCCCACAGTTACTTAAGCATTTCTTCTCATGAAATGTCCCAGCATAGTTACAGGCACCACAACTACCAGATGCTTTATAAGCAGGCCAGTAGCGTCCAATACTCCTGCCATTTACCCATACTTGACCTTTTCCCATGCTGCCCATATCTAGAGCCAATGGTGAATTTCCAGCTGGTGCATTGAAAGTTGTCTAGAACCATAACAAAAAGGACGCATTTTAATATGATTGTGACCCAAGCTCTAACAGAATTTATATATGTTGTAACCTCAGGAAACTAACAGACTAATAAGGTCAGTTGAAGTTCGATTTACTCACTTTGTACCATGTCAGAGGCTGCCTTCTTGTGACTAAAGACCCCTGAATCCACTCAACTGAGGAACTCCCACTGAGTGAATGAAGACTCAAGGCTTCTCCTTTAAGCCCAACCTGAATGAGGGTATGCAATTTAATGAATCTCTCATATGTCACAGGGCAATAAGAGAAGACAAAGTAGAATGCGAAAGCATACCTTATAAGACCATTTCTGCCATGACAAGTCCCTCCTTCCCTCATTAAGACCATTTAGTATGACGGGGCCAAGAACACCAGCATTCCAAGTCTCAAAATGTGGACCAACATTCTGAACTCAAAACACAGACAATACAAAGTCAAATTTTAAATTCTTTGGGTGTGTGTACATGTGAGAGAGAGAGAGAGAGAGAGAGAGAGAGAACACACCGGGAGGCCAACAGCAATGCTTAGAAGCGCAATCTGGTTGATACCAGCTCTCAAATTCACACCTTGACTAAATGTAAGTTTTGGAAATTCTAAACTTCCGTATGAAGTTCCTGAGCAAAAAATCAGTAATAGAAGGTTATGGGCGGATATTATACAATAATCAAATAATCAATTAGCATGTGTGAACAGAAAATAGTTCTTTATATGTATATACTTTGGTTACTTGTTGGATCAAGGGCAAATACTGAAATTATAACGTAAAGCGAATACTTCATACTGTGTTGTACAAACTTATGGATCATATTTCACTTTACAGAGTACAAGCAATTTATTGTTTAGTATGATAGAATTGGACCACTTTGTTCAAGTTGCATGACCAGAAACACTTTAAACCAGCAATAAGCTGCATACCTGCAAGTTGACCATTGATGAAAACACGCAAAGCATGACCAGCTGATAAGATCGTCAGTACAGGATACTTTCCGCTTCTCAAAAATTCCTCATTGGGATCAATCTTAACACTGGAAAGGGAAGAGAATAAGATGGGAATTTCATATAAATATGTCACAGGTATTTTGCTTCAGACAAAATGTTCATGGAAAAAGACTGAACGGGTATATGTTACTCACTCTGTTAGGTACCACAGATAATCAGAGGAATCTCTAGTGGTATTTATCTGCTCCAACAACCCGGCTGTGGTAAATGAAGTGTCAGCATAAGTGGCAGTCTCGTCATTGTAAGCCTGCCAAGAGAATGCTCCATGCAGAGGAACACGGGGCATCTTCATCTGTGCACTTTGAGCACCAACCTGTACACATATATTTGTGAAACATCATAATTTTTATTGTCCAAAAAATCTAGAAAGGATATCCCTTTTATTTCTTTGCATCAAGGAATACATGCAGAACAGAAGCTCAAAAATACAGATAATCTAAATCATGAATATCATGTGAAAATCAACTCTCATTGTACAATATCTACATGAATACAATTTTCAGAATATCTTTTTAGCAGGTAGATTATTTAAACAATCTATTAAAGCTAGAAATATTTCAGCAACTTGACATTCATTATATGTAGCTCCAAATCCATCCTGACAACACTGCAGTTTATCAAAAGCTTTTTAACTCACCCTTGCAGTGTTATAAACTGTGTTCTTGCAGTCAGGAAGAATGCTAATAGACCATGGAGGCAGGTTGTAATGCATGTTCCCAAATGCCACCTTTGCAAATGATCTTGGATTGTAATTTGCAAGAAATGCAGCACATGCTCCAGACTTCGATTTGAATACATGAGCCTATAAACCATGGTAACAGCAGGTTAGTTATCATCCAAATCAATATGAAAAAGGATACCAAAATTTCTGAGAATCTTAAGTAGATTAACCTCTTGGTAAGTCCCAAGTGGTGTAACAGTGGGATCTGCAGAAACTAGAGCTGGTTCACATAGTTTTATTGCTCTATGCAGATCTTTCAGATGGCCCCATTTAGGTTGCCTTAATAATCCTGCATAAAGAAAGAGGAAGGTATTGTCATGTTTAAGCAAAAATATGGATCTTTACAGATTTATTTCATCCATTTTAAACTTGAAACTACTTTAGGGGAAACAAAAGCTGCCAGATAAAATTAGGGTTAGTTTATATGGCCCTTCAGATGCCAAACCTATCAAATACACTAAAATATATATATATAAATACAAAAACATATATAATTTTCAAATCCAGAAATGTCCTTTGATCATTTCTCAGAGGAAGGTCCACGCAAGACGGAGTAATATGTGCATCCAAATTTGCTTCTTTTTTTTTATTTCCCAGTTCTTCGATGGCTAACTGTATGTGGCAATCAACCTTTATACAGGGAGAAAAGGGGAACTTTATGACTAAATTTCAAAGAGATAGTATATATGCTTCTTGCAGTCACTTGTTAGTCAATCTCTTGTTACCAGATATCAGGTGCCACCCGTTAAACAGAGTTCAGCTTCTATCTAGTCACTTCAATGACAATAACGTCGCCAATCACAACAGACCACATCACAAAATGGTAGGACACTATCATTAATATACTGAAATGCAAAGATGATAAACTGGCTTGCCCTCTTGGCTCTTGCCATATGGTGAAAGTGACAAGCACGCAGTTGGCTGTCATTTGGCAAAGGGTGCTTGTTGACAGTATGATACATCAGGCATAGAGAATATGGAATTTAAACTTAATTCCCACCTTTTCTCACTATAGAAGCTAGAAAAAACCAAAAAAAATTATAATATACTTGAGAGTTTATATTCAGAGTGCACAAAGTCAAATGTTAATAACTTATAGAACTCAAATCCTTTGCACATACCATATTCATCAAGGGGAGCATCGTAATCATAACTAGTAGCAATGAAAGGGCCACCAGCTGTTCGGCCAAAATTTGTTCCTCCGTGGTACTGGAATCATAAGACATGTAAATTACATTTTCTGGACATGTTCAGGAATTTGATTTCACTTAGTAACTTCCAGAAAATAACCTTACCATATAATAATTAATGAATGATCCACCTTTCTGTATAAACCTCGCAACTGAAAAGGCTAAATCCTCAGCTGGTCGGGAAGGAACTGCACCCCCAAACTCAGTATACCTGCAAAACAATACAGATCAAGTATAATGAGAAGAAACCCATGAGCTATTATTACCTATAATCCTTAGGTAGGTGGTACAAATACAGGAATTGGTTCCTATTAAAGGTGACAAGCATGAAAAAGTACCATCCAGTCCAGGCTTCAGTCCACATCTTTGGTTTGTAGGCCTTGTTTGGAGAGAAGTAGTCACAGTAGAACCCATTGCATGCGTTAATCTGTTGAGATAAAATTTATTAGGAAAATAAGAAACCGAGAGAATAAAACACACACACACACACACACACAAGAAGGAATAACAAGTAGCACCGAGGAAAATGAAAAAATATATACTTAATAGCTGAAAGCTCAACCAAAGTCATGACTCTCAAATCAGGTTACAAAACAAACATATTTCCAACATCTCCAAGATAAGAAAAGGTTTTAGTAATACAGCACCACCAACCCAAGTTGAAAAGGGCATGAATATAATTTTAAAAAAGAGACATGGCCATTGGCCACCATTCAATCATTACAAAAAGAGGGCCAAGAGAAATAAAGAATTACTGTAACCTACGGGAGTGTGAGAGAGAGAGAGAGAGAGAGAGAGAGAGAGAGAGAGAGAGAAAGAGAGCAAAGCTTAGCCATGTGCAATGAGGAATCATCATTCATATAAACCATGACTAACTCGGAGACAACACACTATTTCCCACTAAGAATGAGGGAACACACAAATGGGTTCCAGAACATGACAGGGAAGAAAGGTGAAGAAACAAAAAAGTCTCTTACAATAGGATCAGGGGCATCATCTTGTTTGCACATGACCCAGGGGACACCAGTGCCTAGTCCCAAAGCCATATGAGCTGCCCAGTCAGTGTAGACTTTACCCGGTGCACCAAGTTCATACTCCATGGGTCCATACTCATTTTCAATCTGTCACAGAAGTTGATAGTAGAAGATACTTCTGTCAGTTTACTAGCTCCATTCATCAAATTGTGTGACAAAATTGGGAAAACTCGAGCAAATTTTTTGCGAGGAAAACTAAAAGCAGCAGATTGGATTCAAGGAAATACTACAATGGTGTACTTTGGCTACCTGGGATAGAATTATTGGACCACCTTGAGACTGAAACAACCTTTCTGCTTTCATCATATTTACAATCTTTGTTGTGAACCTTTGCATTTGAGCCTTGACAATGGTAGTTCAGAAAACAAATGTAGTCAGTGGAAATAAGTATTATATATGTAAAAGGAAACTTCAGGTCTACGGATGATAATGCCGAACCTTAAAAGGCCCATTATCTGTTCTGAATTGGATACCAGGAATGTACTTGAGCCATACAGGAAATCCCCTGAAAATTGAAGCAATTAATTTTGTTATAATCTCATAGCTTTAAACTGGACTGAGATGAGGTATCTTCCTATTTTTAGAAATTTCATAATTATTACCCGAAGTTCCATTCAGCACAAACATAAGGACCAATCCTGAGATGAACATACAAGCCTGCCTGCTGAATCAGCTTGATAAACTTGACCAGATCATAGTTGTCTTCAAAATAATACTGCAAAATAATTAAAATAAAAATTAAGAAAAAAAATTGCAATGTGTAATTGCATGGCCAGAAAATAAAGCATCAAAAACATAAGGTGTCACTGTCAATTACTTTGCCAGGTGAAGGTTCATGCCCATTCCAGAAAACATAAGTCTGAATCACATCCAAACCTCCTTCCTTGGCTTTCTGAATAAGATCTGGCCACATCTGCAACCAACCAAAAAATCCCAGCACTTAAGGACAGCAAAACAATAAACCCAAAACTGAAGTTAAGTAATTTTACAACCAGGAAAAAGAAAAAAGAGGATGAGGATGTGAAGATAGAGGTGCCCAGCTGGAGAAAAGAATTTAGAGAGAGCAAGAAGGTGAAAAGACAGAAACTTGAAGAGACCCTTGAAGCACATTTGTATAAAATTACCTCAGGGGTGCTTCTTGGGTAGTGAATAGATCCAGAAATGAGGATCCTCCTCTGCCCATTAATGACAATAGCCTTAGAGTCATAAGACACAGAGGCTTTTGCAGAACCAACCCATGAACACAACACCACCAGGAGCACTAGCACATTCCACATTACAAGCCTCAACCCCATACACAAAAACCTAGCAAATTTGAGCTTTCAGCTCACCACCAGAGCAATGGCCTTTTTGCTGATATTATTCTTTCTTTGTTTCTCTGCCACTTTATTATATGCTTCTTTTGGTGACGGAGAGAAAGACAAGGTAACCCAGCTGGTTTATGTCTTCCTTTTCCTTTGTCTGAGAGGTTTCTTTATTTTCTTTCTGGGAAAAAATGGGAGAAAAAAGGAAAATGAGATTTAAGGGCTGTGCTTTTTTCAGACTAGTGCAGTTGTTTGCCAGTAAGTGTGAATTAGTGTGCGAAAATGAAGGCGCTTTGTAGCTGCTTATAAACACTGAAGTATGGAGGCTTTGAAAGTGAGAGTGGGCCCCATTTCAAGGCCTTTGGGACCCACAATTTTGGCCTCACTCACTAAACAAGGAGCTCTACCCAATTGATCAATGGCACCACTTTAACAATAGGTGTACCATCACCACCCTCCTCAATGCTTGACACGTGTCCATAGACATAAC